CCCTGGGGTAGCCGGGACCACAGCCGCCGGGGCAGGCGGGGAATCCAGGAAGAACAAACGCGCTTCGGGGGCCGAGGAGCCGGGGACCCAGGGGCCCTCCCACTGGTTTGTCTGGAGGGGTCTAAACTAAAAGAACCCAGTGGGGAGAAGGTTAAGGACCTAGCCGTCTGAACAAATCCCAAAGAAACAGCCACCCCGGTGTCGGCCGCGGAGGTTCCAGCTGTGGCGGCTGCTCGGGCAGGAAGGCGCTGGAATCCCGCTCCCGCCGCACGGGGTGGGGGCGCCGGCGGGGCCCTGGCTCTGTGGGGGGGGGGGAGGTGGTCGGCTTTGAATGTCCAGATACAAAACACAGACTGGTATTGAATTCAGCCCGATCCGATGTGCCCCCCCCCTCCCGGCTCCAGCGAGGGCAACTCCCTGCAAGGTTCTGGCCACAAATCCATTTTGAAAAACGGTCCTTCAAAGAAAAACACTCCGCTAAAGTCTAAAACAAAAATAGGACAGAGAAAGAAGGGGGAAAGGAAGAGAAAGGGGGTAGAGACAAGATAATATGTGGGACATGGGAAGGCAGCAATCTCAAACCAAGAAACTATTTTTAAGGGGGGGGGAGAGAACAGCAGAATGACACGCAGGCACGCCGGGCAGGTTCTGTTAAAATGCCCACTCTTTTCGGATCCTGGGAATGTCCACGTTCAAATAAACAAGCGCCGGAGCTCGAGCCGAGCGCTTTCTTGCGGCCGATAAAGCGAACGTTTAGACTGTGAGAAAGGCGAGATTGATTTACGAATCTGAACGCGCCGGTTTTATGGCCGATCACAAATCCGTCAGCGCTCAACTCACGCTGGGAAACTTCCCAACTCCGTTTTCCAAGCAGACCTCCTCCCCAGCCGCCGCTTCCCAGGGAGACCCACCCCCACGCTGTCGCCGCGGAGGGCTCTGGCCGGACTGGAAGGCCCCCTCTGCCCAGGCCAGGGGGTGGAAGTAAGACGGAGAGTGGAGAGGGCTGAGGGAACTGAGGGTGGAGGGAAAGGGAGAGAGGTCAAAAAATTGGGAGGACTGGGGTGGTACTATAGCTGTCTGGGAGTGAGGGAAAGGATGTGCTACAATTGTCTGGTACCCCCGGAAGGCTGAAATCCTTAGGTGAACCCCATCCTCTTTCCCTTTGGTGGGGCCCTCATCCTCACATTGCTGGCAGCAGTTTGTAAAATCCCAGGTGCTTAGGTCTTCCTCACTTGGGCCTATAGAGGGCCCATAATTGGTTATCAAGATAGCATACATAAGGGTTATCTGCCCTTATGGGTCAGGAGTGTACAAAATCCCCCCAGCCCCAAATATTTTCAGTTCAGGAGCTGCCCAGCTCGCCTTTCTGCTCACCCTCATTCCTTCCTGAAGCCTCCAGACTCTCTACGTATGCCACCCAGGGACAAAGGAGAGAATACCAACCACTCCAGCTATTTCTAGCCTGAGATGGAGTCCCCAAATTACAGGAAACCAACAACCCACACACAGTCTTAACCTCTTCTGGGCAGGAGTCTGTCAGTCTGTCTTTGTTTCTATCTCCCCCTAAGATGCTGGCGTGGATTTTTTAAATATAGCAAATAGAATACAGTTTTGGAAAGGCTCTGTGTTCCGAGCTCATCTCTTGGCAAATTCACCTCCCTGCTATCTCTTAAAATGAAAAGTTTCTGGAAACTTTGGCTAACATAGCAGAGCTGACCCTGTTAAGTGGTCTGCATGGATTCTCCTCCCATTCCTACTGCTCTCCTGGTAGCTGAGGTCCTCCAAGGGCTCTGGGATGGGGGGAGACTGGACACTGGGAAGGGGGGTAGAGGTAATTATAGAAATAGCTTCCTGAACAAAGGGACTTCAGAAAATGGGTTGAGAGGCCGTGGATTTGGATGTCAGCCCTCAGAGAGATGGCAGCCTCCAAAGGAATGTTCGTGGTGGGAGCCCTTTCTCTCCTTACAACCCAGGGGCTTATTCTTCTGACCCTCTGAGGCCCCGTGGATGGAGCCCCTCCAGCCTCTCATATCTTCTCCCTTTGTCTTTCTTTCCTCGGCTCTCTCCAAGCAAAAGAGAAAAGGAGGGATGATCATGGGGGTGGGGGAGAGGGTGGTTCGAGTATGGCCTGCGGAAGGGGCTGTGTGCTGAGAGACAGATAAGCATCCTACTTCCCTCCCCGGACTGACCCCTCAAGCTAAAATTTTTATTCCTTTTCTCCTTAACAGACAATAATAGAAAAATAATCTAGAATTTCAAGATAGCAAACAAGGGCTTGAGGCCTAGAGGAGACAGGAGAAGATGGGACCTATGACAACTCAAGGACCCCTCCCTGCAGAGGTGTGACTTTCCCTCCTGGGCAGGAGGCAAGAGCCAACACAATGTCCAGTCTCAGAGAGGTCAAGGGGCTTCCGAGGTCATTTTGTGGTTCTAATACTGAGCTAATCGCCTAGAAAACGTGGCCTCTCCATGAACTCTCTCTCCTGCCAGCCTCCCGCCTCCAAATTCGAAGTGAGGCCTCAGGGAAAAAAAGCCGGCACATTCAGGTCTGATGCGGAGCCTACTCCCTCAACCTGAGAAGCAGGGCTTCAGAGGAGAGAATAGAGCCCACAAAGCGATACAGCAAAAGGAAACCAAACCGAACACTGAGCCTCCAGGAAGAAGGTCAGAGTGGGAGCAGAGGAGGAATATTTCTGCATCAACGCACCTCGCCTGTGAACTGAGCAGTTTCCTGCTCCAGAGAGTAGCACATATTTAACTACAATCCCAAGCTAGACACCAGGAAGAACGAACACATCTACTTATACCCGCTCCAAGGCTGGGGCATTCCTTCTAAGAACTGGATTCGATTTTTTCCAGGAGGCGGCAGTGACAACATCTCCCCGGTAAACAGGCAGAGGGGGACACCAGCTCCTGGTGTAGACAAGCAGAGTCACAGGAACACAACGACCACATGTGCACCTCGGGAGACACATGCATGCACACACGCTGGGGCTCGTAGTGCCCGCCGGCATTTCCCAAAACCAGAGAAGTGCTGAGCTGCTTCACAACCAACCTTCTCTGGGGTTTTTCAGGGGCCCTTACACTTCGGTCCCAATCAGTTCAAACACTCTCCAGGTGTCGAGGCCCCTCTCTCCCTCTCTGACCCAAGCATCAGTCATCATAAAAGGCAGCAAACCTGCCGAAGCGTCTACCATAAAAACCCAGCCAAGATAGTTGAAAAAGAAAAAGGAGGAGGCGAGAGAGTGTTTCTTCTTTCGCTTGTGAAAAGAGCTCATAAAACGATCAAAAAAAAAAAAAAAAACCAGCCCAGGCCAGGGCTTTGTTACCTTTGCGCCTCTCGCCTCCTCTTGCCCGAGCTCCGCCGATCCCATTCATGCCGGAAAGGCTTCTTCCAAACTGAGAGAAAAAAGTTTTCAACTTTATGGTTCCAAATTTTTTCCCCCTCGCAGATCCGGGAGAGACGGCTAACACTTTTTTCCCCCAACAGCCGGTCTGCGGAGATTTGCTGTTGAATAATAACAAAGGAGAGAGGATACGTATTTAAAGAAAAGAAGTGATTAATGGTTTTCTGTATAATTCTCACATTTTTCTTAGCTCTTGTCTACACAGAATGGCTGTGAACTTTAAGCTCCATAGAAGTCTTTTTTTTTTTTTTTAATTCTATTCATACCTTCCAACGAGCAGCTTTGATTTTGTTCTTTAGAGACATTCCTGGGGGGGGCATATGCTTTTTAAGAACTATTTCTCCTCTCGACTAAGGGCCACCACATCCCCTTGCTGCTAAAACATCACACCGTGATCCGACCGAGAAAAAGCTCGCCCTTCTCATCCTCCAGGTCCAGGGCGATTTTTTATGGGTCTCTCGGCAGCGTTTAAACAGGCAGTTCAACCACTCTTTCTTTTGCTGGGGACACCAGCCCTGTAGGTTTCCTGGCCCTACCCAGCCTCCAACGACCTGCACTGCAAACCGGAGGAATGCAAAATAAATAACAATAAAACGTGCGAGTGGGATTGGCTGTTTTTATTTTCTGAAAGGAGATGGGACCAAAAAAATGACTTTTAACTGCATATGCTTTCCTGAGCCCCAAGCCTTTTGGAGGCGGGGTGGCTGTACCCTGGACCACCGGACCACAGACCCAGAGGCTGGAGCTCCCAGAACTTAGAACTTCTCGACGGTGCTGCACAAAAGCGGCCAGAGCCTGCCAGCGCTTCTGAGGGTCACCCGAATCCCATTCCCCTTCCCCCACTCCATTCTAGGGGTGACTGGGACCTCAGAGACAGAAAGCTATTTGGTCCCCAGTCATACTTTCGATACTTTCTATGAGAAAGAAAATGAAAATTAATACAGGAGCAGGGCTTCACAAAAGAGGCCATTTGTCTTCTTGATTATCTATTTGCTTGTCAGAGTTTGAGCTATGGCACCGGCTAGCTCCTTTGTAATATAAAAATACTCTGAAAACCTGCAAACACCCAGAAACATCTGTGCAAAAAATTAGACTCATTAAAGCCTTAAACACCTCAGAGGAAAGCGATACCTTCTTATGCTGGGAGGAAAGAGGCCGGCCTCCTGAATCCTCTCTCGGAACTTTAATAACCAAAGAGCCGTCTGTCTAGAAGGAGACAGCTTAACCGCATTTTATTTGCTTATGACAAATAAATCACAATATGAAAGGCTTTGCCGTACTTAAGCCTCTTGTGTCCTACAATGAAACATTTTCTTCCATTAGGGACTGGAATCGGCCCTCCCAGTTCTCTCAATCCATTTTTGGACTGGAGGGAAAAAATTAAAAGCCCCAAACAAAACACACCCACCCCAAAAGGAAAACAAACCAGCTACCACAATTTGGAGTCCTCTGACATAGAAATTCCCATCAGATCCTTTGAAAAAAATCTCCAACCACATACAATGTGAGGCTGAATCCACCAGGGTGCTTAAAATATACTCTGGGTGGCATCTGTCCATATCTTTACATCAAGGTTTCAACAAAAACACGCTGTGCTGGTCACAAGAAACCAAACATTTATTTCTATTGTCACTCTGTACAGGACACAAATTTTCACGCCAACGAAATGGTCTAGACTCAGGCAGCCCCAGAGGTAGGAAGGGGCCTGGTTTGGAATGTCAGAAAGAGAAAAAGAGAGAGGACACACATGACATAAAATAATAGCAATAATAATAATATTAATAATAATAATAATAATAATAAATGATGCAACAATCATAAACTACCGGAGAGGGCTCTGCAACATTCTCCTCCCAGACTGGGAGGGGCACATTTTATTTCCTAGATTCACATTCATTTCCAGCCTGGGAGAGAGACCTCCCCTGTACACAACTCTGGATTGGCGAGAGTTCCTGCCCAGCTCCCAGAACTCAACTGGCCCCTCACCCTGCCCGGCATGACTTGGCCTTCCAGAAGAAAGCCCTCCCAGGTCTCTGGGTCTCTCTTTTTTCCTGGGACTCAATTTCCCTGTTTGCTCCTAAGTTGTCAAGGCCGCCCTCTCCCCCACTTGTCCCCTTCCTTCTGTTCCCCACCCCTCAGCCCCGAGATGGAAGGGGGTGAGCAGTCATTGTCCCCCCATGAAAGGGCACTGAGGACGAGGGAGGTTGTGTGTGTGTGTTTGTTACCGTGGCCAAAACACTGCGCTATCTGGCAGTCAGAGGGTGCTTTCGCTGGGTGTCAGGAGTGGGGGACAAAGAAAGAAAATCCAGGCTGTCTTCCAGCAGCAGCAGCAGCAGAGGCGGTGGCGGCGGAGCCGGGCCTCATTTGTTAGCCGGGTGTCTAGGTAATGGTCGCCACCGAGGCCCGTCCTCTCCTCGGCAGAGTAAACAAGACAGATGGGCCTGGGCCTGGCGTGATTAAAGATGAAACGTGGATCCATCTTCGCCAAAGCTGAAAACGAGGAGCTGCAGCCTCCTCCTATTTCTCTTTCTGTCTTTTTTTTCTTCCTTCTTCTTCCTTTTTTTTTTTTCTTTCCCTTTCATTTTTTAAGGAAGAAAGCAAGAGACTTGAACCTTGCTTCTGGGGGGCCTCCCTGGCTCCCTATTGTCATTTTTATAAATAAAGCTTCCCCTCCCCCTCTTCTGCCTTTATTGTATATAAAGGGGGGGAGGGCAGATAGGTTTTCCAGGCCCAGGTCTTGGGCACCCTCCCCTCCCCACTTCCCTCCGCGCTCGTTGCCCACCCCCACCCCGAGGTTCGTGGCTCCCGCGTTGGGGGGACCTAGAGCGCGGGGGGGCCTCCGTTGGGCCGGCCAGGGGGCCCTCCGGCTGCGCCTGCGGTGCCACCCGAACGGATCTTGGTGTTGGGCAACTTGTGGTCTTTTTTCCACTTCATGCGCCGGTTCTGGAACCAGATCTTGATCTGGCGCTCGGAGAGGCAGAGCGCGTGGGCGATCTCCACCCTCCGGCGCCGCGTCAGGTAGCGGTTGTAGTGAAATTCCTTCTCCAGCTCCAAGACCTGCTGGCGAGTGTAGGCGGTCCGAGAGCGCTTGGGCTCCCCGCCGGCGTAATTGGGGTTTACTGGACACACACAGAGAGAGGGAGAAAGAGAAAGTTTTATTGCCCCCAAAGGGAGGAGGGAGAGCCCTTTCTTCCAGCTAACTCAGCGTCCGCCTCCCTCCTTCTCCCGCCACCTCTTCTTCCTTCAGAGGGGAAAAAGCCGAAAAGGAAAGAAAGCGAGACCCAAGGAAGAGAAAGAGCCCTTCAAGTTTTGGAGGACTGTGCTGTTGTCCTTGTTTGGGTAACTGGGGAGGAGAGTGAGGAGTCTCCCCGAGATTTTAATTGCTCTTTTCCCCTTGACCTGGCCCCCCCAACGGGAGACTGAGGGGTAGAAGGAGGGGGGCTTCCCTAAACCTTTCCTGTGTTTCGTTCCCACCCTCACCACTCAGACTCCAAGCAGCGCCTGCCCCCAGTAAAAAACTTTTGCCCACTTCTTCAGCCAAGGAGTCAGACTGGAAGAAAGGAAAAAATAAATACTGGGAGTCGACTCAACTCCCTGCTTAAATACGGATTACCTCCTCCTCCTCCTCCTCCCCCACCTCCCACAGCCCTCCCCAACTTCCAACTTCACTGAGACTGCATCTCCCTGGCGAAAAAGTCGCTGGTGAGAATGGTGAAGAGGATGGGGAACCGACTTCAAAGGCGCAGGGCCCACCAGGCCATAAAAATTTATGGGGGATGTAATTATGTGGCTCTGAAAACAGGCGACCGTAAATCTCTGGCAATGGCGAGTTTATAGCGGGGACAATTGGCTTCCCCAGCTCACCCCCCATGCCTCCGAGGTCCCTTCGGTGGAAAGCGCCAGGGTGGGAGGGGGAAGGGGTGCCCACGCACTCACCCGTGCTCACGTGAACTTTGCGCATCCAGGGGTAGACGACGGGCTCTTTGCAC